GATTTCATTCCCGAAACAATTGGTCTAAGTGGCTCTCCTACCTTATGATCTTTTGGATTATAATAAAGGTGGGGTAACTCGGCATCTATTGGGTTTGGTTTTAATTTCTCAAAATATTTCCTGGGTAACAATTTTCTATTGACTAAATTTCTTAATAATTCTTCTGTCTTTTCTATCATACTATTTAATGGGAATTTGTTAGATGGAGTCAGCTCTCAGGTATCATCTTTTTCTTCCTATCATCATTGTGACGTCATCATATATATGTATTTCATCTATATCTTCTTTTGTTCTGTTGTCATGCGTGAATAGATATATATTCTCTGTTCCAGTATGTTCCAGTGTATTCGTTCTCTCTCTCTCTATTGATCTTGTATGTTCTCACTAGTACTCTCGTGTAAGTTCTGGAATTCCTAGTACCTTCCACTACATTCCTTTTGTTCCGTACTCATGTATATATATATACCTCTCCACTCGTAACAATAAAGTTAATTGTACATACACATTAAGATAAACTTCTCTCTGACTACAACCGGTTAGTGGTTGACTACCTTCACATTGGTGCACTGGTCAACTGTTTTCAATTCAACATCACAAACAACGTCAGATATTAGTAAGCAACTGAACTTTCAAACTGGTTACTACGCGCAACACCTCCGAGGAACGAGCTCAAGCAAATCGTCGACAGTACGAAGAGAAACTAGAAGTCAAACGACTTGAATATCAACAGAAACAACTGCAAGATAATATGTCGTCCAACTTGTCAACGCAAATATTACTTAAAGGTATTCAGCCGATTGAATTCTTTACAGGGGCAGACGAACAAGATCCAATGATATGGATTCAAGGCGTCGAAGAATTATTTGATGCTACAAAAGTTGATACTACTGATCGACGACGTTTACTTCCAATGTACTTTGGCGGTGACGTCAAGAAATGGTATCGAAGCGAAGAACTTAACAGTGATTATGATGAATTCAAGAAACAATTCATCAATGCTTTCACATCATCTGTATATAAATTGAAGATTTCGACTAAATTGATGAATCGACGCCAAGGTAACGACGAGTCAATTCAATTGTATTACTACGATGTTCTAGCATTATGTGCACATTTTAATTCCGACATGATGGAAGGCGAAAAAATATTATATCTCCTTCGTGGTTTAAAGCCATCCATACAACAGCATGTCATAATGAGTGATCCTAAGAAATGCAGAGATTTGTTTGAACATGCAAAACGAACCGAAGCTGCTGCAACAGTACTTTCTCCAACACCAGAACAAAAGTCAACGATCACAAATGAACTTATTGATGAGACAACAGCAGCTCTTCGTCGAACATCAATTAATCAAAGTACTTTGCCAACTGTTCATCCGAATTGGAAAACTTGGAATAATCAAGGAAATTCGAACAACTACCGATCACAGCAACGCTCCAATCAAAATCAGTACAGTAGCCAGTATCGTAAGTTTCCACAACGAAATTCATCCAAATTCAAGTGCTACAACTGTAGTGACATCGGGCATTATGCATATCAATGCCCTAGTTATTTAAACTAATACGGGTGCCACCTGATGGTAGTGTCATCCGACGTTCCAAAAATCCATCATCATTAATACATATTAGAGTATTAGTAAACAATATCGAAACAAAAACACATGATAGATACTGGCTCCACGATATCGGCCATCAACACAGAGTACTTGAAGAAGCTCAACATCAATCAAAATATTTATCCAGCAACAATATCTTGTACAACGGCCAACAATGATCAATTACTTAGGGCATACCAAAAGTTCGCGCAGTGACAGTTTAATATCGTTTAGTATGCTTAAATAATTTTTCTTCTATTTAGGATGATAAAGAAAAAAAAGCTCTATCTTTCTATACTATTTGATCATACTTCAATTAATATTATAATATTAAATTATCTATAAAACCTATTTCGGCTGGTTGTGCAGTGATTGTAGGAGATCACATTTTGTTTTTCAACATGTATCATCTTATTATTATTCTCTTTATTTTTTCAAGTTTTTATGTCATCAAATGTTCCAAATAATCACCCTCGTTATCTATACACAAATGCATGCGTTGAACCCATTTATCAAATGTTTTTCTATATTCTTCTTTATCTAAAGAGTTCATGAAGTTGGACACAGCACGACACAACGATTCTGAGTTGTTTTGATCGATTAGATCCTGTTTGATTAAGTCGAATAACCAAAAATCACATGGTGATAAATCAGGAGAATTAGGTAGATGTGGAATTATTGTAATACCTTCAGACTCGAGGTAATTCGGCACATCCTTATGAACATGTGGTCGCCCGTTATCATGATGAAGTTTGATATCTTGAACACCACATGAAGGTCTTTGCTTCCTGATGTTGTTAATGAGTGGTTTTAAACAATAATCAATGTAATGTTGATGGTCGATAGTTTGCCCCCGTTCCACATAATGAATCAAAACAGGACCAGTAGATTTTAAAAAAATGCTAAATAATGTTTTCGGAGAAAAAATACTTTGTCGAACTACTGTAGGCGGAGGATCACCTCTCGCAACCCACGCAGAATTTGATGATTTTCGGCCAATTTGTTTGTGGTAGAACCAGGACTCATCACCTGTTACCACGTCACATAGCCGCCATGCATCTGATTCGAATTTTGCCAAGTTCTCTTGGCATATTCGAACTCGTTCAGCTCGTTGAAAATCAGTCAGCTGCTTGGGGACATAACGAGCGGTAATTTTTCTAAGGTCCAGATGATCAGAGATTATTCGTTGAATAGTGCCATGACTAAGATCAGTTTGTTCTTGCAGCTCTTCTATTGTAATATACGGATTATCATCGATAACGCTTTGGACTTCTTCAATATTTTCAGATGTGGTCGCAGTAATAGGTCTTCCAGATCGCGTTTCGTCTTTAATCTCTTCTCGACCTTCACGAAAATATTTAGATAATTTCGCAACAGTTCTAAAAGAAGGAGCTTCGTCGCCGAAAACACTACATAATTCATCATGAATAATTGTTGGTTGAATGTTAAGTGCAGTGCGCACTTTAATGTAAAATCGAAAATCGAAAATTTTTCTTATCCATCTGAAAAGAAACACGCGTCTTCCTCTACATATACACACACATATCAATGACTAAGTGTCAGAGAAGAAGAGAAAAGAAAAGTAGACAAAAGAGGAGAAGAATAAAGAGAATAATAATAAGATGATACATGTTGAAAAACAAAATATGATCTCCTGCAACCACTGCACAACCAGCCGAAATAGGTTTTATAGATA